TTTTTTTTTTTTTTTTTACAAAACTCGGAAAAACCTTTTAAGGTTTTTTGGGCATTTTATATCTTAAATGCACTTATGTGAATTAATAAATAGTAATTTGGACTTAATCATGACGTCTAGGAGTTTTTTCAATATTTTATTTGTTTTCAGCACACCAAAATAAATGGAAACTAGATGAAAATAATCAAACAGCTTTTTAGTCGCAGACCTGTGAAATTATTGAGCTGGCAAAGATAAAAGATATAAAATGAGGATTCAAAACAACACACAAAAGCAAACCAATCATCTTAATCTAACAGCTAGTTAAAACATATTGACTTATTTCTATAGAAACAGAAGTATATCTTGAATTCCAGTACTTCCTTTTAACTGGGCTTTACTTTTTTCCATTGGAAATTCCAATTTTTAATCTGAAGCTTTTAGAAACTGTGTTAATTTCTTTTCTCAGTTTCAGTCCAGCAACAATTTCTTAATTTCTTCATCAATTTCTTATCAGTGTTGACAGACTGAGTTGAACTGTAACTGGCTTAATTATTTTGACTAATGGGAAAGGTCCTAAAAATTTAGGTCCTAATTTTTTGCTAGGCATCCTCAACCGTATGTATTTGGTTGACAGAAAAACTGTATCTCCCACATGGAAGGGGGATTGAATTGAGCGGTGCTTGTCTGTTTGTTTTCTATATTCTTCTGCCCTGTCTGTTAGGGCTTTTTTGGTATTCTCCCATCCCTTTTTGAGAGAGTCCATCCATTCAATCAAAGACATTGAGAAGGGGGATTCCCTGGGCATTTCAGGCATGGGAACAAATTCCATGTCACTGGTAACTTGGAAAGGAGTTATCCTGTGCTGCTATGGACAGTATTGTTGTATGCCACTTCGGTGAGAATGGTAGCAGGTCTGACCAGTTGTCTTGTTGGTAATCCACGTAACAACGGATATATTGTTCGACCAATATATATTGCATTCACATGTTCCGCCATCCTGTTCATGCTCAGATGGAAAGCCGAGCTGAGTCCTTGTGTGAATCCAATAGATCTCAAGAACTCCCTCCAGAACCTGGACTCCTTGGTCAGAGATGATTCTCTAGGGTATACCGTGCAGGCAGTAGATGTGCTGATTAAACACCTGTTGCAGTAACCCGGGGGGGGGGAGGCTTGCCTGGTCTTATTTTCATGGCTGCACAAGTGGCACAACTCTTAACATAGTCCTCCACGTCTGCCTTCATCTTAGGCCACCAGAATTGATGCCTGGCGAGGTGGCCGCCTAACTTTGCATCATGGCTGCTCTGTAGCACTTCTAGCCTTCTAGCACTTCTAGCCTTAAGTTGGCAGGAACGTATATTTTGGATCTTTTCCAGGCCCATCCATCTCTCATCGTTAAGAGGTCTTTGTTGTTGGTGAGCCAGGGGTTGGTTGGCAGTGCTATGTTCAGTGTAGTAGTCAGTTTGTCCTGGCTGGGATCGGTCAGCTGTTTGGTGTGGCCTTTGGTGGTGACTTGTGCTGCTAGTTGTTTAGGAGGAAGGATGGCATGAACCTCCTCCTCCATCTGGTTGTCAAACTGCAGCTTTCTTGAAAAAGCAGCTGCTAGCAGGTTCTTCTCTGCAGGGATTTACTTCAGTTCGAATTTAAATCTCCTGAAGTACTGTGCCCAGCAGACTTGTTTTGGAGACAATTTTCAGAGCTTCGAGATTTTTGTGATCAGTCCAGACCTTGAACAGCACTTTCTAAGAAGTGTCTCCATGAGAGTGGGGCCCAGCGGACTGCGTAAGTTTCTTTCTCCCAGATAGCCCACCGTCTTTCAGTGTTGGTGAGCTTTCTGGAGACATAAGCAAAAGCATGAGTTGTCCTTTTGGGTTTCTGTGCAAAAGCACTGCTGCTACACCCACGTCGCTGGCATCTGCCTGTATTATGAATTGCTGCTCTGGATCTAGGTGCTGCAAAATGGGCTCTTGGGCAAAGAGCCGTTTCAAATTTGCAAAGGCTTTTTGGCAGTCCATTGTCCACCCAGTTGGATGGCTTAGCTTTTGATTTATCGATGGAGACCATGTTTTTAACAGTTCAGTCGGGGGCAGGGCGACTTCCGCGAAAGCCAGGATTAATGGTTAATAAAAGTTAGCGAACCGCAGGAAACTCTGTAGCTGCCTGCGGTTGCATGGGGGTTACCAGTCAAGCGCGGTTTTCACCTTCCCTGGGTCCATCTCTATTCCCTCATTGGAGATCCGATATCCAAGGTAATCCAGGGAGGTTTTGTGGAATTCACACTTTGATAGCTTCACATATTGCTTAGAGGCGAGGAATTTCTACAGAACTTGCCGCACCAGCTTTGTGTGTTCTTCCTGGGTCTTGGTGAAGATGAGAATATCATACAAATAAACAAGGACCCCTTATAAAGGTGCTCATGCAGCACCTCATTTATTAACTGCATAAAGACTGCAGAGAGCCCTTGTAAGCCAAACAGCATGACTTTGAATTGGAAGCTCCCAAGGGGGCAGTGGAAAGCAGTCTTCCATTCGTTCCCTTCTCGAATTCATATGCGGTAATACGCCTGTCTTAAATCCAATTTTGTGAACACCTTGCCCTTAGACAGGTGATTCAATATGTCGTGCATGTTTTCCACGCAGGATGTTAATATACCTTGAAAGTCCACACACAGCCTCAAACCACACACATACACATACACACACACACACACCTTTTTTCTCTTTAAAGAGGAATGGGGCAGGTACCTTGGATTTGGCAGGTTGGATGAAACCCCGTTTTAAATTGTTATTGATGTCCTTAGCTCCTCTAGTTTCATAGCAGAGCATGGGTATTCAGCTAGTCTATAATATATTCTATAATGCTGTTTTGTTGTCTATGATCAGTATTAGCTATTATTGTGGATAAAACAAGTTTTGCAGTTTTAGCTTCAACATAAAGAATTCACTCTCTTGATTAAAGTAATGGCCAAAAAAATTGTGTTACAGTATTTTTGGGGAGACTGATACAGATTTGCAAGAGCTTCAGGCATCGATGGAGCAGTTACTTCTAGAGCAACCCAGTGATGAATTTAGTGAAGAGGAAGAAACAACATTAAAAGCCAAATGTCTAGGAAATGATACAGAGGTGGAAGAGGAGGGCAACAATTTCGGTAGTGAAAGTGCTTTTAATGAAGAATGGCATTCAGGTATGCTTTGGTTCTGTAATTGTTTATAGAAGGCAAGTCTAAAATTTGTGAGTCTTCAGCTTGTATGATATTTAAACAAAGTTAACTTCAAGGACAAATCATTAGGACTATGTTATATATACTGTATATCCATTGTCAAACTCTACTAAAAATCATTTTATTTAGCATTAATTGAATTAATAGGTAGCTTGAGTTTGAACTATTGTTGTCTGTGTAAATAATTGCAAAATGCCATTAAAAAGAGAATAGTGTTGTGCTCTATTATCAATTGCCCATTACTATAGATGTGAACAGGAATTTTCTTAAAATAGATCATACTGAAGCTCTGTCCAGTCTACCACTGCATATTTAGGACTAACGTGTCAGCATCCTTCAAAACTGTATTTCTAATTTTATAGAGCAATAGCAATAACAGTTAGATTTATATACCACTTCATAGGGCTTTCAGCCCTCTCTAATCAGTTTACAGAGTCAGCATATCGCCCCCACAGTCTGGGTCCTCATTTCACCCACCTTGGAAGGATGGAAGGCTGAATCAACCTTGAGCCGGTGAGATTAGAACCGCTGAACTGCAGATAACAGTCAGCTTAAGTGGCCTGCAGTACTGCACCCTAACCACTGCGCCACCTCGGCTCAACAGTTGACAAGGTAGAGAATGTCTTACCACATTTGTCTTTGAGATTTGTGCAAAGTGTGGAAATTGTTGAAGGTGTGTGTGGTCTTGTTATTTAATTGGATAAACAAAATAATTAAAACATATGGCAACTTTTTGAAACCTTTTCACTAAGATAATGGGAAACAATTGTTTCTTTTCCATTGGTTAGAACCAATCTCAAATACTGTATTTTTCAGAGTATAAAACACAATCCCCCCTAAAAGTGGGTGAAAATTTAGGTATGCCTTATAGACCAAATGTAGGTATTTTTGGCCTCCTGAACCCTTGATGTGCAGATGCCAACTTCAGAATTTAGACAAGAACTGGAAAAAGGATAAAATAAATATTGCTACAATAAAAATTGGAATGCTAAAATATTTTCTCATATTTCTTCATAGACAATAGTGATGGTGATAATGCCAGCGATTATGAGGAATATAATAGTGTGTTCAGTCATCTAGAAGAGCTGAGGTGTAACCTGGAAAAAGAAATAGGCTTTGAAAAATTCATCAAAATTTATGAAGAAATAAAGGTTTGTAAAATGTTTAATATGAGGAAAATGGATCACAATTATCATCTAGTAATAATGAACTCCTTTATAATATGAGAACTTTTAAAATGAAATTAAGCTAATATAGTTATTTTTCAAATAAGTTTTAACATGCAGTTTTTTAGGGATGCTCTAAGTAAATCATTGTGTTCAGGAGCTGGAGGCCCATTTATGCCTTGATAACTTTGGGCTGGTATCGTATTCTGTATGTCTTCAGCTAATCATTTTCTGAATAATATGATTTAGAGACAGTCCTCCATAACTGCTAACTTCTACTCCCCTTCCCAAATTTCTCTACTTAGATTTTAACACAAAATCCTGGATCTGGATGAGGAAAGTTTGTGATCTTATAATATTTTATTATGTTAAGTCATATATTTTTACACCTTATTTTCTAGGCTATACATGAAGATGAAGATGAAAGTATTGATATTTGTTCAACAATAGTTCAAAATATTTTAGGAAATGAACATAAACATCAGTATGCTAAAATTCTCCATTTAGTAATGGCAGATGGTGCATACCAGGAAGGTAAGTATCTGACAAGCACATGTTTTCAGCATTATTTTTCTGCTGACTGCCTATTCATGGTTAGCTAGTTATTGTGTACAATGCGTTTTTTATTGCACAACAGTTGTTTCTATATACTAGAAAGTTATACACTTTTAACTAGTAAATATTAAATATAGAACTACTTCTTTAACCTTTTAAAAGTTGCTAAAATTCTGCTAGTTAATAGGATTCTATCCAGTAGTAAAATCTTCAGCTATGGGTTGCCCATTCTTTGGATAGAACATAGTCCAATTTGTCATACTGCAATTTGCAATTGTACATTTTTCTATTTAATGCTTTAATTGAAATTTTATTAGATATGTTCATACTGCAGAAAGTAAATATGCTAAAATATACAGAGTTTTGTGTATTTATGTGTATTGACTTGATGCAATGTTAATCTTGAACTTTTGCTTGCTTTAAAAGAGGCAAAAACAGGATTTTGCTAGTTCCTGAGATTATTTCATAACTAATATGAAACACTTTTACAGATGCCTAAGGTTTAATACAAATTGGGTTGTATTGTTCCTAATCCCACATATGGAACATGAAGCTAGAGGGATTTAAATTATATAAAAGAAATAGACCATGAAGTTGCAATATAAGAAATAACTACATCTCTATAGAAATAGAGCACAACAATGATGAAAACTGCCTTGCATTCATTTGGGTCAATATAAAAGGGGGGAAATGACATTGCCATAGGTGTATACTATAGTAAAGGCCACCCAACCAAACAGAGGGAATAGATGAACTTTTTGCTAGTCAGTTAACTAAGGTATGTAGGAAGCACATCACAATAGTAATGGGGGATTTTAACTATCTTGACTGTCAACTATCAACTGTGAGACAAACTGCACAAAGTAAAAGATCAAACAGGTTCCTTACAAACCTAGCAGAAACTTTGTGTCCCAAAATGTAGAGAAGAGAACACGGGGGTCAGCCATATTAGACTTAATTCTCACTAACAGAGATGAAATGATAGGTGTTGAAGTTACAGGAACCTTGGGGGAGAGTGATCATGCAATATTGGAATTCAACATTATGCAAACACAAGTAGTAGAACAAAGTCAAACTAGAGTCTTGGACTTTAAGACAACTAATTTCAATAAACTTAGAGAGAGCTTGGGAAGGATTCCATGGATTAGAATCCTGAAGGGGAAAACAACTCAAGAAGCTTGGAAAATTTTGAAAAGTGAGGTTATAGCAGCCAAATCTAGAACAATACCAATGAAGAAGAAAAATAACTCTCAAAAGAAGTCAGCATGGTTGCATAAAGAACTGTCTGATAAATTGAAAGACAAAAAGTATTAAAAGTAGAAAGAGGGGGCACACAACTAAGTATATCAGCAAATAACCCAAGCCTGCAAAGATGAAGTCAGGAAAGCTAAGACTCATAATGAACTAAGGCTTGCGACAAAAGTAAAAAAAATAACAAAAAAAGCTTCTTCCAGCATGTTAAAAACAAGAAAAAGGTCAAGGAAATAATTGATTCATTGCTGGGAGAAAGTGGCAAGAAGGTGCCAAGCAACAGGGAGAAAGCAGAACTATTTAATTCGTTTTTTGTTATTTTTTTACATAAAGGAGATAAACAATCCAACCTATCAAAAACAGCACCACAAAAAACAGATTAGGAACACAAGTTAAAATAGAGAAGAAAATGGTAAGTGA